CACATATATATCTACATATTTATATCTATATCTATCTATCTATCTATCTATCTATAGCATATATCTTTTGATAACCCAATTTTTATAACCATTTTTATTGTAACTGCCACTGCATTTTTGTTAGTTTTTCCTTATGTCTGAAGGATCTTAGGAGTCTCTTTAGAGGGGATTTTTCTAACCAACACCCTCGAAGTTAGAAACTGGAGAGCAGAGAGTTAGAAGTGGCACCTCTGTCACAGGTTCTCCAGCGAGTGCTTCTCACAGCGCTGTCACTCCGTCCCAGTTTCCAGGGAGCACTGCCTGTCTGCTCACGTGTGACTACGGCACTTCCTGTTCTGGGAGGGTAAGGCTGGACTCCAAGCACTTGTCGAGAAGCCTGTGCTGGTTGTTTTGAACATTACTGAACCAGAGGACTAACCAACTACTTACGTGTGGAAGCAGCCTTATCTGTGGCATAGATAGCATTGCTTGCTTGTTCACATGGGGAAGAATGTGAAAAAAAGACAAAGGAAAAGAAAGGAAAGGCAGTCAAGTGTGTCCTAATGATCTTTAGTAGGTAAGACCAAACTGATGATACTCAACCTAGATTTTGGGGTTCTTTGTGGTCATACACATGCAATAGACATAAGCCTCGTATCTTTAAGTGACACACATTCTGACATTTTATAGTAAATGGTCATGAATTAATTCATTGCCACAGATAATTTTTGAGGAGAGAGTAGCTGTTCCCAAATGGTAAAAGAGCATCATTGATATTTTCTCCAGCAAAGTCGGGAGACAGATGCTACTAATAAAGCATAATAAAGTATAACAAACTCTTCATGGCTTTGTTTTCAATAAAACACAAGTGATTTTATGGTCCTATCATTTGAAATGTCAATCTAGTTTAGTAGGTTTGTGTTGAAAACTCTGGTTTAAAAAAAATGAGGCGAAAACTTAATTCACTATCTTGTCCTACACTTTTGCTTAACAGAGAACACTAGTGAAAAAGGGTGGCAAAGCCCGGGCCTAGCTGGTTTGGCTCAGTGAATAGAGCGTCAGCCCTCGGACTGAAGGGTCCTGGGTTCGATTCTGGTCAAGGGCATGTACTACCTTGATTTCAAGCTTGATCCCTGGTCCTGATTGGGGTGCATGTGGGAGGCAACCAATTTATGTGTCTCTCTCACATCGACGTTTCTCTGTCTCTGTCTGTCCCCCTCTGCCCGGGCCTAGCTGGTTTGGCTCAGTGAATAGAGCGTCAGCCCTCGGACTGAAGGGTCCTGGGTTCGATTCTGGTCAAGGGCATGTACTACCTTGATTTCAAGCTTGATCCCTGGTCCTGATTGGGGTGCATGTGGGAGGCAACCAATTTATGTGTCTCTCTCACATCGATGTTTCTCTCTCTGTGTCTGTCCCCCTCCCTTCTACTCTCAAAAAATAAATGGAAAAATTTCCTTGGGTGAGGATTAACAACAACAAAAAAGTGTGGTAAAGACAAATTTAGAAACCTGTAAAATAAAAAGGCAAATTAGAAGAATGGAATATTCAAACCTCTTGACACGGAGAGATGTCATAGATATTAATGTGACTCCAGGTTTAGTGACAGGAGCGCCAGGAATCCCAGGTCGTAACTCCCACCCTGCCCTTGACTCAGTGCCCTTGGCAGGTCTGGCTTCATGGATGTGCACCTTCTGCAGTTGCACCTTCTGGTTTTAATGCTCTGTGGTTGCTGTCTGGAAATTCTTCATGGTGTTTGAATGAGGGACCCATATTTTCATGTTGCCCTCTGCCCTATGAACTATGTAGCCAGTTCTGGCCATTAACAGGTTACTTCTCTGAATTTCAAACAAGGCAACCAAGATTTTGATAGATCTCAAGATTTGAAATTCTATGAGTCCCAACAAAGTTTTCTAGACACCCAAAGTTCCTGGTTCACCCTCTTAGTGGGTCTCAACCAGGAGCACGTTTGCCCCCTAGTGGTCATTGAACAATGTCAGGGGACATTTTTAGTTGTCCCAGCTCAAGGGAAGGTGCAGCTGGCATCTAGTGAGTAGGAGGAAGTTTAATCCTACAAATGCTCAGGACAGCCCTCACTCTTATAGCTTCAAATTCAACATTGCCAAGGTTGAGAAACTCCACATAGCTCATTATTTGTCTCCAACACCTGTTTCTGGCCCAGGGAAGTTATTCAGTGTTCATAGAACCAGCAGGTGCAACCTGGATCTTAGGGGGTTGTATTCCTTCCTGTATTCAGATTGCTAAATGTAACCTAGCATTTGCATGAGGTACAGCACAGAGATGCTGTCCTAAGGCACTTCCTCTTCTCACATTTATCCAGTTAACTGCTGGGCACCCAACCCTCTTAAAACCTTCAGTAAAGCACACGTGCTCACAGCTGGTGGACGGCTTTCCAAGATGACCTTGTACTGCTGCTCTCACCTGTTGGGCTGCTGGCTTACCAATTTTTTTTTCTTTTCGTTTTTTACCAAGTTCTTTAGGTACTGCTGCTCTCACCTGTTGGGCTGCTGGCTTACCAAATTTTTTTTTCTTTCTTTTCGTTTTTTACCAAGTTCTTTAGTTATGTTCCCAAATCTGTTTATGGCATTGTACTGGTTGCTGTAATGTAATGCAGTGTAATCAACAATTATAGGAATTTAGGGAAAGAAAAGTACTTAAAAGTGAAGAGATTCCATGAAAATCCAAGTTGAGTGCTTTGGAGAGATTCAATAAAGGTGTCACTAAAGAAAACTGCTCTCAAATTAAATGTAGGCAAGATAACGCTAGAAGATTTTGGAGAGAATTATTAAAATTAGATCCTGTGTGGAATTTACATAACAGTTTAAAGTGTTCACTGTTCTTTTTGCAGATTACAGACAATTACATCTGTGGTTTTTGAGAGAAAAAGAATAGCCTGCTGATTCATGCTCAGAAAAAAAGGCCTTGTCCTACATCACAAGATTGCAGAGTGAATGGCATTTATATATTTTAGGATGATAGGAATTATTTGATTTAGGAAGGTAACTTTAGATGACTTAATAATGCATCAGAAGCAGGGCTTCTATTATATTTTCTGGTGAAAAACAAAGAAAAGGAATATAATTAGATATTTTTCTTTTGTCACTTCTAGAGCTAAACAACTCTCAGTTTTGTGAATAATTTTCCTGACTTAACACCAACTTAAATCTTAAGAAATACTTCTTTCGTTTTTTATTCCATAAACATCAACCTAAGGTCTGCCTCTTGCCGGATGCAGTACTGAAGTGTTCAGGGGCTGTTTGCTTCCGTTTCAGTTCATATATTTTCTTCCTTGAATTTTCCAGGTGCCTATATAGATTAGAGGTAAAGTGTCACATTCCTTTAGATTTGAACAGGTATGAGTAATATGATCAGAAGTGCAGTCAAATCAATTCATTTCAAAATACTGTTGGAAATGAGGTAAGAGATGTTTGTCAGCATTTTCATGCTGGTTTTTACCTTGTTATTCTCTCGTTAGGACTCATGTCCCTGAATTAGATTTGAGAGCAGAATTCTGAGTCTCTCAATACCGAACTTGTTAAGAAAAAAAAGAAAGATGGATTCCTCTTTAATATAAATCAACCATTGGTACTTTTTGTTAACATTTTAAAATAATGTTTTATTTTCCATCAGTTGTCATTATTTTGCAAATGGCATGCAACAATTTATAGGCGTAAACATCTTATCTATATATATAAAAGCCTAAGCGACCAAACGACTGGTCTGGAGCTGTCCCCTGGTGGTCAGTGAGCTCCCATAAGTGGGCGTGCCGCTCAGCAAGAAGCTGGTTCACGGCTGGCGAGCGCTGCTGTGGTGGCGTGAGCCTCCCCTGCCTCCGTGGCAGTGCTACCGAGTGGCGGCAGGGCAGGAGCAGCGGGCCGTGATGAGTGGGAGCAGTGCCTGGCTCTGGCTCAGGCTCCTCCCAGGCCGCCTGCTGCTTTGGGCCGAAACCGGCAGTGTGACATCCTCCAAGGGGTCCCAGATTGCAAGAGGGCACAGGCCAGGCTGAGGGACCCTACCAGTGCATGAATCCGTGCACCGGGCCTCTAGTTTGGTCATAAAAGAAAAGAAAGGATTTATCATTTATGATCAAAGACATCAGGCTCTTTTTTAAAAAGTAGTTTAACAAGTAATAAATACATACAGCCTCCCTTTAAAAAGTTAGAAATTATAGAGAAAGCTAAATATTTCTTTGCCCATCTGATATGGTCTTGGAATCCTTCCAGACACAGACACACGTGCATGTGTACACACACACACACACAACCATACAGATTTTTTATAGGTGCAGTATCATAGTGCATTGATCGTTTAGTTAATTTATTCAATTAAGTTGTGTCCATTTGAGCCAGCTCTTCTATAAATCTATCTCATTCCTTTTATCTGCTAACTGATATTTCAGGTATATTCATACACATTTTATCGGTCTGTTTTTCTGTTAATGGACATTAAGTTGTTTTGTATCGACAGTAATGAAACATGTTTTGTTGAGCACTTGTACATGTTTTTCTCTAGGGTAGGTCACGAAGTAGAATTGTGGACCATCCAAATCATAGCATAGGTTCATTTGTTTTAGAGTCTTTCTAAATTACATAGTGTATAGGACAAGAGTCATAGAATCATGGCTTTTTAGGAACTGAAGGTTTCTTAGGTGTAATTATATGCTATGAAGTAGTTGTCAACTTGTATCTCCATCCTCTTAATATTTAATATTTTTTACCCCAGAGCTTCTTTTACAACCTTCCCTGATTCTGATGACTTATTAAAATTCTTTTGGCTCCTCTATTGCTTCTACTTTTAGTAACAAAGTTTCAGACAACAAAATGTTATCTTGTAAGTAATCATTTTAGCAGGTGTCTTACTATATTCAATCTCAAATTTAAAATTGGTTTTAAAACATTTCTTGAAGTATTTTATGAGATTAATCTTGTCAGAATTATACCTATACTGGTTTAATACTTTAGATCTTTGTATAATGTTTAATTAATGAGATGTGGGGTTCGAGGTGCAGACTTCTTCCATGAGTTCTTGCCCTATGAGGTTTGAAGAATAAAAATTGAGGACAAAAGGGCTTCTTTAATAAAAAATGTAGAAGTTTATGGGAAGCAGATACAAACTCCATCTGGGCATAGGGGCCCTCCAATGGGAAAAGCCTCTCTCTCTCTCTCTCTCTCTCTCTCTCTCTCTCTCTCTCTCTCAAAAATATCTAAAAAGAAATGTGTCTTGTGTCCCTCTGTGTCCAGTTTATATATGCTGCAGTTCTTTGTCTGAACCTGACCCTTTCTAATTGGATGGATCCTTCCTTGATTTAGGACCCCTGTGCTTTCTTCATTGGTCATTCTGCTACAAGGTATTAGTTTCAAAGCTCAAAGCCAACTTGGTGCTCCTCTCTTTCTCTCCCCTTGTCTTGCAACATTCCTTTATCCTCTGTACAAGTAAGGTAAGCATTTTGTCGTCGCCAGGCCCCCACCTATGCATTCCTCTCCCATGGACCTTCTCTCAATTGTCCTGGCCAGATATATTTTATTACCCCTTAGGTCAGGGCTGCTCTAGATCTAACTTATGGCTGCTTTAATTGTTCATGTCAGAAATGCCTCCATCCTTCTTGGACTCCCCCTTCCTGTAGGTAAGCTAGTTAACCCTTTTCATTACCTCAGAAGTGGAAGATACTTAGGTTTACAATCTAGGTCAGCGGTTCTCAACCTGTGGGTTGCGACCCCTTTGGAGGTCGAACGACCCTTTCACAGGGGTCGCCTAAGACCATCCTGCATATCAGATATTTACATTATGATTCATAACAGTAGCAACATTACAGTTATGAAGTAGCAATGAAAATAATTTTATGATTGGGTCACAACATGAGGAACTGTATTTAAAGGGCCAGAAGGTTGAGAACCACTGGTCTAGGTCTTCTCTTAAAACCCATTGTGTGTTATAAATGTAACATGGATAAGTAGTGTTTGTGTGGAAGAAAACTTTAGGGGCTGATCGCCTCCTATCTTCCTTATGTGGATAGTTTTTTTTTTTCTTTTGAAGAATTACATCCTCACTCTTATTTAATGGCTTCTATGTGTGGGGTGTTGTGCCCACTTTCCTTTAATTCATAGAGTGAGCCTAAGAACTCGACAATATTGTGTTCATCTTATAACTGTCAAAATTGGTAGAGAAGCTAAGTAACTTTCTCAAAGTTCACCCTGTTAGGAAGTAGTGGAGCTAAAAACTCAAAACAAAGCTGATCTTATTCGATCCATAGACATTCGTCAATGTGCTATATAAGGCTAACCTTTTTACCATCATTTAAAATTCATGTGAGTCTCTTCCTGGCCGGTGTGTGTGGCTCAGTTGATTGGACTGAGAGGATAGGAGAATTAAATTAAGGTATCTAAATGGCTTGCAACAATGCTAGGCACACAATAATTACATAAGAATGCCTATTATTATAATTATTTTTTGCATAGCTAAAATCTCAAAACAAAGCTGATCTTATTAGAACCATAGACATTCGTCAATGTGCTATATAAGGCTATCCTTTTTACCATCATTTAAAATTCATGTGAGTCTCTTCCTGGCCAGTGTGTGTGGCTCAGTTGATTGGACTTCATTGGGTTGATAGGAGAATTAAATTAAGGTATCTAAATGGCTTGCAACAATGCTAGGCACACAATAATTACATAAGAATGCCTATTATTATAATTATTTTTTGCATAAGTACTGCAGCAGAATAAGGCAGTAGATTAGGATATTGCTTTGGAATTAAGCTACCTGGGCATTAATCTCACCTCTATCAATTATTAGCTTTGTGTCTTTGGATAACACAGACTTTCTGTGTCTCAGTTTCCTTATCTATAAAAGGGTAATAATTATTTTCTTTTTGTTGTTGTTGTGTTTTGGTTGTGTGGTATTACATGAGATACTGAAAAATTTTTCTTTGTGAATTCTCTGTAAATTATAGGTTCAGTGTATTTCTTTTAAAAAACAATACTCCTTGAAAGTTCTTGTCTTTGGAGAGGACTTACGTTTTTATATCAGGAGTTAACGCATTAGGGATTTAGAATGTTGTTAGACCCTTCGATAATCCACCTTAGTAGGCATCTCAGAATTACCTACCCCACTGTGCAGGATTCAAGAACCCTTATAGGTGTTTGCCTGTAGGATAGTTCTGACTTTGAAATTTGGTTCTTGCTGTCAGCTTCCATTCATTATGTGGTTAATTGTTTGTTCTTGTCTTTCCTTTTACTTGATACTTGGAGATACCCATTACTTTATTAGGCAGCTAGCACTGCATTAAAAATTATGCATTCAAATTTATCAAAGATTTGAGTTAAGTTGAGTAATTCATACACTATTCTGTTTGAAGCAGAAGTTAAGGCTAGCATAATTTATAAGCGTCCCTTCAATAGATACTGCTTTTTAAGAACTCATTTTTTTCTTGATTATGTAACTTGTAATTCACAATTTTTTAGGGTATGTGAACTGTACATATGTTTCCACTTCTGGATCAGTGACTTTCAGACATTCTCTCTGTCCCATCCC